CAGCAGCAGCAGCAGCAGCAACAACAGGGATAGGGCTACCAGCAACAGCAGCAAGAGCCTCCTCCCCGACACATAGAAAACCACCCAGCAGCAGCAGCAGCAGCAGCAGCAACAGCAACAGTTTAAACATACAGGAGCAGCGAAGCCAAGCGCATGCAGCAGCAGCAGCGGCAGTTGCTGCAGCAGCAGAGGCAGCAGCAGTTGCAGGTGTAGCAGCAGCAGCAGCCCAGCACCAGCAGCAGCAGCAGCAGCAGCAGCAGCAGCAGTATAGGTTTCACTACCGGCCTCAGCTGCCGCTACCGCAGCAACTCACATACGGATTGATCTCTCCTTCTCTGCATCTGCAGCAGCAGCAGCAGCAGCAGCAGCAGCAGCAGCAGCAGCAGCAGCAGCAGCTAGTGCGGCCTTCATCTGCTGTGTCTCCGTTGGGGGTAGATGTGCTGTCTCTGTCTGGGATCGTCTCCTCCCCGTCTCCCCTGCTGCGGCCCCACACCCCCTTCAGCAGCAACTCTCCTTTTGCTGCTGCTATGGGGTGTACAGACACCTGAAACCCAGCAGCAGCAGCAGCAGCAGCAGCAGCAGCCACAGCAACAGCAGCAGCAGCAGCAGCAGCAGCAGCAGCAGCACCAGCACCAGCACCAGCAGCAGCCGCAGCAGCAGCAGCAGCAACAGCAGCAGCAGCAGCAGGAGCAGCAGCAGCAGCAGCAAGAGAGACACCACACACTGTCTCCTTTCTGCTGTCTCTGTTTCTCTAAACCCTCGATGGGGTGTATATGCAGCTCCTGTTGGGTGTGTATACACCCTACACCGTCTCCTTTTGTTTTATCTTTTTGTCTCCTTTTGTCTCCTTTTTTCTCTTTTGTTTGTTAGTGGTCAACCCTAAACCCTAAACCCTAAACCCTTTTTTTCTGCTCGTCACTATAAGGATGCCGCAACTCCTAACAAACCCTAAACCCTAAACCCTAAACCCTAAACCCTAAACCCTAAACCCTAAAAGCGCATTCGATTCAATGAAGGGGTTAACCCTAGGCTTTAAGAGGCGGCTTAATGGTTTAGGGTTTAGGGTTTAGCGTCTAGGGTTTAGGGTTTAGGGTTTAGGGAGAGCGGCATCAAGCGACACAGAAAAGATGCTTTAGGGTTTAGGGTTTAGGGTTTAGGGTTTAGGGAGAACATCGAGTGTATAAATAAATAAATAAACTAAATAAATAACAACNTATATATATATATATATATATATATATATATATATATATATATATATATATATATATATATATATTAATAAAATAAAGTATACAACAAACAGCAGAAAGGGGTTTCATTTGTTTACGGGGTGTACAGCCAGCTCACCCCACTGAGAGGGTTTAGAGTCTTATGGGGGTTTAGATGGTTTAGGGTTTAGGGTTTAGGGTTTAGGGTTTGAAGGGTTATAGGGTTTAAGGGTTTAGGGTTTAGAGGGCTTATGTATAGAGGGTTTACAGGGTTTAGGGTTTAGGGTTTAGGGTTAGAGACTATCTGCATACATATATAAATACAAAGAAAGAGAGAAGAGACAACGGATTGTAGCACCAAACCCTAAACCCTAAACCCTAAACCCTAAACCCTCGTAAGATATATGAAGATACTACAGCGCATGCAGCATTTATATTTGGGGTTTTTAGGGCCGGTATAAACCGCAATATAAATTTAAATATTCATTAAAATATATAATTAAATATATATTTTATATTTTGGTGTATATACACACAAGCATCCATATAGATGTGTGTATACACTGTACATACAGCATCGAGATACACGGGGTGTATACGCAGGTATATGGGGTGTATTTTCTCGGATTTTTTTCGTATTTATAAAAATAAAATAAAATAAAACATTATAAATATTAATTTATTCTTTTTATACAGCTGCAGCAGCATATACACGGGGATAGATGCTGTATATACACCTGAAAGTTGCTGCCGATGGATGCAGGGGGGCGTAGCAGCGAAGCAGTGTATATAAAGGTATTTATTTTCGGCTAAAGACAAAAAATAAATTAAATAATATAAATTAAATATAAAAAATAAAATATTTTATGTTTTTTATTCATAAATAAACACAAAAAACAAAAAAAAAACAACCACCGGAGCCTGTATGCTCACCGCGACCGATGCCAGCCGCCCCACAGTGTCTGTACATACACCCCAAGAGGGTTTAGGGTTTATTGTTGTTTATTTCTTTCTGTATATTTAAAATTTTCATTATAAAAACTTTTTTATCTCTATATTCCTGCCCTAGGGTCTAGGGTTTAGGGTTTAGGGTTTAGGGTTTAGGGTTTAGGGTTTAGGGTTTAGGGTTTAGGGTTTTGAATCTCGATAGGTTCTTCTTGCGCTTCTCAGGCTGTTGTATTAAACCCTTTTTTTTTCTGCTGCTTGTTGTTTTTTTCTGTGTTTATTTTCCCTCTTTACACCCACCCTGACATCTACAGTCTAGGGTTTAGGGTTTAGGGTTTAGGGTTTAGGGTTTAGGGTTTAGGGTTTAGGGTTTAGGGTGCAAGCAGCAACAACACCCGCGATGGAGAAGGAATCCAAGATGAAATACTTGGTGGTTACGGGGGGGACGATGAGTGGTCTAGGAAAGGGGACCACCATCAGCAGCATAGGTATGTCTAGGGTTTAGGGTTTAGGGTTTAGGGTTTGGGGTTTAGGGTTTAGGGTTTGGGGTTTGTGGGAGTTGTATCTCTCTTTTTCTGTGCGGGTTTCTCTTGCTCAGTGCACATAGTCAGTATACTCCAGCCGAGGGTTTAGGGTTTAGGGTTTAGGGTTTAGGGTTTTGTCTGTGACTGTCTCTAGTGGCTTTGTCTGCATCTA